TTGATGATTCTTCAATGAAGAATTATGCAAGTAATTTTTCAACTGCGCGCAGAATGTTTCGTAAGAACATTGAACAATTTTCCTTAAAACAAAAGCCTTTATAATTAGAAAAGTTCTTTAAAAAAATTTCCAAAAATATTTATTAATAAATTACATTATGTTTGCATAGACATAAAATTGATTCAATTAATGGATTTGGTTACAATGTAATTTTTTTTTCTAGATTTCGTCCCAGTGAATGTCAACACGCTAGAAACTTGACGGTTTATTAAAAAAACTCGTGCAGATTTGGATGGGTACAATTTATATTTTTCAAATATTATGAAAACAAAAATTCACAATTAAGAAATAAAAACTGGTCACGATTATTATCGCTCCAAAATTTTGAAGGAGGCCATAAATTATCTGTAATTTTTTCCTTGTTTTTAAGTTGAAAATATTGAGCTATATTAAATACCAATGTGTATATGTATATACATATGTGTACGTGCATAACTCAATAAAAATCATGTATACTCTTGCTAGCTTGTAAAATCTCTTTTTATTTTTTCTAATGTCCTAGAACTCAATTTTTCTATTTGAAATTTTTCATACTCTTTGTTGTCTTTTTCTTCTTGCTATTTTTTTTTTCTAATTTAATTTCGTTTTTTATTTCAAGGTTGATTGATTGTAAACAAGAATAAAAGTGAAAAACGTCTTTGCACTAATTCATTGAAAATATTTTTCTTCAAAATCTACTAAAGTTCTTAATAAGTAAAATGTATAAAATGGGTATACGAGTATAATTAGTCTAAAATGATGAGGATAAAAAGAAAAACGAAAAACACAAAAAGGACATTATAAATCAACCTAATTTTTATATTTCTTTTTTATTTTATTTTTGTTTTAATATAAAAAAAAATACAATAAACAAGAATATAAAATAGAAAATCTATTTAAAGTGACACTTTAAATCTTAAATTGAAAACGCAATACAAATTTATGTATTTATTGTACACTGATGGTCAAAAAAATATCAAAGTTATTGTACGAAAATGATAATAACGTAAAAGCCAGAAAGTCATGCCAATTGAAGATGAATAAATTAAACATTAGGATAAATTTTTATTAACTAATGTTCTGTCGACAGAACTATTGGTATATTTATTTATTACCGACCACATTGCATACAATAAGGAAGGTCATGTGATTTTGCATATCGGGTTTTCGGTGGATACGCATTATGGAGAAACGTAAATTAACTACTTTTAGAGAGCTGTCGATCTGTTGATCTGTTCGTGAATGCGGGTATCTCAAGATGGCCGATTTTACATTTTTTTACCGTATCAGCCGAACGAATTGATGGAATTTCTTGAAACTTAATATTTGAGTTATATTTGCTACCGAAACTAACTTTTCAAGGAATTCGGATGGCACAAAACGAACTCCTGCTAAGAGCTTAATTTACATTTTTCTAAACTTGTTAACTAAAAGCTTACTGATGTCCTTAAAATTGTAATGAAGTGTTTAAAACGCATTTTTTAAATCTTTTATAATACTTTTACTAATCTAGACAATATACATTGAGGTCGGTTATTTGCTGACAACATCAGATTCTTTTTCCAATACTGTACATTGCAAACATTTTTGTTATGAATGTACATATATATTATATAGGAAGGAAAAATATTATAAAACAATAAAATTGAAAAATTTCTAAAGAGATTTTCAATAAACTGAAGAAGAAATAATTTTTCTAATTTAAAATTCTTGTTCACTTTCTTGTATTTTATTGTTCGATCAATATTGTTCGGTTCAATTTAGAAAATTCAATTTAAAGGATTTTGGTTTTTTGGTTCTTTTTTTGTCTTGAAAATAATTGATTTTTATTTTAAAAATGGTGATTAAATCATTATTTAAATTCAAGTCAAGGTTTTTTAAATTTATGATACACAATATATACATATGCATACATACATATAGATTTGCGTGTACAAGGGAAAATTTACATTTAAATAATTTTTTAACTTTTAGAAAATCTTACGTTTTTGAATGTTTTTTTCCTTTTCGAATTCTAATTGATTTTTAAAATTAATTTGAATAAATTGATGAAATTATTATTATAATTCAAATTGAAATTTGAAAATATTAAATAAATGGACGTAAATAAATGGAAGATTAAAAATAATTCTAAAATGGAAAATATGTTAAAATAAATTTTTAAAAATTTTAATTAAAATTTAAATGATTTCAAGCAAAGTTACTGAATTCGCAAAATGATTTCATCTTCTTTTAATTTTCAAATTGAAATATATTTGAAATTTCCATTTGGTTTGATTAATTTTTTTTTTAATTTTGGTAATTGGGCCAATAATAATAATTTCCTAATTCCAATGCTAATACCCCCAAATAATGAATTAAAATTAATTTCTACTTCAATTTTATTATCCTATTTTATTATTCGAATGTCCTGAATGAATTTTATTACTTTAAAATTCTAGTTTTCCTTTCATTTTATTAATAGTTTTTTTTTTCAGTTCCTGCTATAGAAATCCAATACTATATGTGTACAATAAAATATCGATAATAATTACCTTGCAATTACCTCTTCATAAGCAATTCATACAATATAAAAAATTATTCGAAAAAAAATGTTCAGGATAAAATAATGATTATGTGTCCTATAAGTAATTTTTAACGCTCAATAAATGCAAAACATTATTTACAGAAGACCGTACACATTAAGTAAATATTTTTTTTCCTCTTAATATTTAATTATGGCTAATTAAATATTATTACATGTATATATATATAAATGAAGCCAAAGTAGCAAGGTATAATTTATCTTGAATATTTAAATAGAAAATTCCATTTTTCTATTTTTATTAAAATAAAAATAACAAACACTCCCTAAATTCTATTTTAGTACGTCACCTTATTGATATTACAACTATTAAAACTATATTAATGATCCTATTTACAAAGTTAGGTCGAAAGATTAAGGATACTGTGAATTGTTGAACAAACATATTACTTGGTAAAAAATTTCTAGTTCAGATATAGGGTCATAATCTAAGAAATGGGACAATATAATTTCAAATAATTGCATCCCTAAATTAATTTTCGAAATTTTTAATTTAAAAATGTGAATATCATTTTGTTATAAGCAGTATTCTTTTGCTGTATTTCATTCATTTGGCTTATTCTCATCTTCAATAAAAGAATTTATACCTAGATCGAAAATGATTTTAGTAGTTCTTAATGTTGTTGAATAGTCAAAATTGTTTCTTGTATTAGAATTTTTTCTATTTCTAAAATTCTCTGACCGGAAAAAGAGATTCTAAGCCCCGGACGGGGAACAAGGTTGTGTTTCAAGTTAAAATCAGGATCGGAATCGCACTAAGAATTAGGTCAAAGCTAGACTTAAAAACATACAAAAGCTATTTTTTAAAATTACACATAGAAACCAACACAGTACAACTCAATATACTTGAAAGTTCCTCCTAATCTACAAACAAGTCTTAATTATGTATAATTTACGTTTATGCCTAAACTGTTTAAACAAACTTTGTTCTGTTCTTATTTTAACGTGTACACATCATAAATAAAATATGCTTACTCTCTTTATAGCAATAAATGAAAGAAAATTTTATTGAAATGAGACATAAATTAAAATAATGACTTTATTCACAACAATTTTCCATTAAAGAACAAAAAAAAATGGGTTTCGTTATAAAATAAATATTAGAAAACAGGGGGAAATTATTATGGTAAAATAGAACGTTATCCATACATGACATAAGATCTCCTACCCTATATTTTGTGGTTTGTTCCATTTTATTTTTATTTTTTGACTTCCTTTTACAAATGAAACTTAACTATTATATTATTTTTATACAAAATTAATAGATTTCTGTCCTTTATATTAACCTATAGACCTTACATATATAATAAATGTGCTTTCCCTCTCTATACGAAGTTTTTATTATATATTTTCAAAGCAAAAAATAAGGAAAGTAGGTAAATTATAATAAAAGATGAAAAAAAAAAACTAAAACACATTTTTTTTCTAAATAGGTAGGTAGAAAAAATTCTATATCCTTGATAAGAGAAAGTAGAAAATTTTGATAAGTTAAAAAGGGTTTAAAGAGCACATATAGAGTAAAAACGCATTAAAAAACTTATTAAAACCAAGTTAAAGCTAAAGAGTAATGTGATTCAAAAAGAGGGAGAACAGAAATTAGGATCTGGTTCAGTTACATATAATTGGGTTTTGTAAATATCTGGACTCTTTTCTTTTTAAAAAAAAATCTTTTATTCCCATACATATTTAGAGTGCGCTTGCAAGTACATATTTGTATATGTATATATGAATACCCTAAATTGTAAGTAACATACGAGTACTTATATAACAAGTGAGTCACTTAAATTCGCAAGTGACGATATATGTATAAATAAATTATAGGTTAGAGAAATATTAGCGTATAATTTGTATACTTTTGAGATTTAAGTACATAATGTGTAATAAGTGCTTTTTCTACTAAAAATAGCACAAAAAGTTATAAAAAGTTTAAATGCATGTATCGCAATTTAAGTTGTATAATAGTTTTTAAAATATAGGTAGGTATTTACGGATAAAATATGCTTACAGTGCTAGTAAGAAATATTTAGTTGTAAAAATGCTTAACAAATAGTTATTCAGTTCTAACTATCCTGTTCAAATTTTAAACAGGATGACATAAAAAAATTGCAATTTGTAATATTAGCTATCCTAATTCAGCACAAACTAAAAATACCCGTAATACTGTATAATGCTATCCGATATATTAAGTACGTTACAAGATAGACATATCAGATTTCCCAAAATTAAAACAAAAATTTCCACAATCATATCTGTTTGGAAACCACTTTATGTTCAAAATTCACTTATAATATGTAATGTGCTTGTCTGCATTAGAAACTATATTGTGTTAAAAATTCTCCAATTATTTTCATATTAAAAGAAATTGAAATATTATTTTGATAGTTTCTATAAATTTTAAATACCTTTTTCCATTTAAATATTTTAAATTTTTAACCTTTGTTCTATTAAAAGCAATTCATTGTCCAATTGTAATTTCAAGTACTAAAATTTCAAATCTAGTTTTTCATCATATGGGTATTGTTCTCTTACCTGAAATAAAAAAGAAAATAAATATATTATATATATATATATGAAATAAAACAAATTTTATTTTAAGTAAATTCCATAATGTTTAAAGCATAAGTTATTAGAACTTGCATATTAAAAATTTCTTGTTCCAGTAAATTTTTCACGCTATTATTTTGATTTGAAATTATTTATTAAAAACAGAATCGAAGCTGAGACGATATCCGTTGTTAAAACAGAACAATTTCGGAACGTCAAAATCAACTGTTCAGTATTATACGCACGATTTAAAAAAGAACCGCCACGCGTGTACAAGAATTTTAGATTATTTTACCTTCATCAGTTGAATTCGCGGCGACAATTTCGCTTATTTCTGGGCAGTATTTCTGCCCATTTTTGCATATCTATTCTATGCGAGTTTCGACATTTCGCCGCGCAAAATCGTTCTTGTTCTGTTTTCTCCTTAAAAGTAGTTTCAAAAATCAAAAGCATGTTATCGTTTATCACTTTAAGAAAAGAACTCGTTTATTTCTTAAAAATCATAATATTATAATAGAAGCTTTGGTTTATTAAAGGTAGAATTTTCATCATATTGATTTGTTAATATTGACAATCAGAAACGATTTCGTTAGTAAAACGTTTGAAATGTTTTGCATATGCCCTGATTCCTTTTATAATAAATTTTTTTTTAAGTGTAAAAAAAAAAATAAATCCATTATCATTCCGAGTCTTTTATTTATTTTGCGTTATTAGGTTAATTCAAATATACAAACATAAACAATATACCGCCAACGCTATGCCACACGCATCTATACAAAATAAAAGCATAAAACCTTCGTCTGCTAAACATTTCATTTAACACTCGGTTATACATATTAAGGTATACTTAGATGTAGAATAAAAGAGAAAGAATGGCCATAGTCTGATAATATGCTTTTGTTCTATGCCTCCGGACATATTTACAATCAGTATAATTTTAGTTTTTTTTTTTGACAAAAAAAAAGTAATAAAAAATTATATAATAATAAACGAAGATCACAATAGGGGGTTACGGTTTAAAAATATGATGTGAACAGCACATAACCGACCGTATTGCATTTGGGTGTACTTTTTAAATAATATTTTGTAAATTCAGAAAATTTAACTTTTAATAGCTGAGCAAAACGATTGTATACAAATATGTATGTACGTCAAAAGTCAGAAAAATATTCTATTTTTAAAGTTAGTCCTTTGTGAAGATTTAAAGGTGTACGAAGTGGTAAAATCGATCCAGTGTAAATTGAAATAACAGGTGTATAGACTTATGAGCGGAGTGTATATAGAATAAGAGCATTGTTCTCTAGCACGAAAAAGTGAATCCAAATCCGTTTTTGCTTTTTATTTCAAGCAAAAACCAATATTTTATGTGGTTTGTGTCCATGATCATTTTGTTTTAAATTTATAAAATATTTATTCTCATCACTTATGTAATACACTTTTCCAAAAAAAAGGGGTTTTCTGAAACATAACAGTGTTGCAATAATTTGATTAAAAATTTAATCTAACTTAGACAAACTTCAAATTATTTTAGAATAGATTAGAGAGGAAAAACATCAAAATAAATATAATCAAACATTTCATTCATAAAGAAAATTAGGGGGACTTTTATCCCATTGAAATACATATATAAAAATATGCTTATGTACATATGTACGTGGTATCACATTATTTTCATAACACTATGCAATTTACAATATTATTCTGTTTACAGTATTGTTATACGATATAAATACAATGCGTGAATATCATCTGTATAATTTCTAATACTAACAATGAGATTTTAACGTTGTACTTTTTTTAATTAAAAAATCTTAAACAAATTTAGTTATAGCCTGCATCTATTTATTTGAACATACTTACCTATAAATTAAGTATACTTTAATATTCCTTTAAATTTTTTCCTATTTTAATAAAAAATCATAAATGAAGTTTTTTTAATGAATGAACGAAAAATCGAGTTTACAAGCACATTATGCAATTTTAATAAAGATTTATATATGTATAATGTAAACAAACACGTACGTTTATGTAAACATATTGCTTAAATACATACTAAGGCAACTAATATATACATATATATAAATAAAAGATAAAAGAAGAATGTGTATCTTTGTATGTGTATAAGATAAATAAATTTTTTTAAAATGTCTTAAAAGATTTTTGGGTTTTTTTTTAAAAAAATAATAAAAAATGAATATTTTTTCGATTTTATTACTTTTACAGTTATTCGTAAATATTTTTACATTTTCTGTGTGTCACGTAGGTCGGAGAGAAAGAAACAATTCCCCAAAGATTTGGTAATTCTTGATGTCCTTATTTTATTCCCATCTTCCTTTCATCCCATCTCAACTTTTGAACGAAAATCGACAGTAGCTCAGAATTTAGAATCCTTAACCTGCTTCTAGTCAAGGTAGGACATACTCTTTTAATATTACATGAAATTAGAATATTAGAAAAGGTTGTATTTCTTGCTAAAATTATTCTATTCATTGCTAAAATATTAGAAAAGGTTGTATGCGTCCAATTGGAACAATTTTTTGAAACAAATGGTTTAATATCGCTGAATCGATCCGGATTTCGCAAAAATCACAGTTGTGAATCATTATTAAATTTGGTATTGACTAACTGGAAAATTGCTGTTGATGATAATAAGGTGGTTGGGGCAGTTTTTCTTGATCTACAGCGCGCATTTGAAACAGTAGATCGTAATATCTTAATGCAGAAATTTAGTAACTATGGTATTTGCGACATTGAATTGTGCTGGTTTGGTTCATATTTGGCAAATCGCACTCAAAGAACAAGAGTTGGTAATTCACTATCTGATTCAATTGATGTGCCACTTAGTGTACCTCAAAGTACAATATTAGGTGTATTATTATTTTTAATTTATATTAATGATATGGAGAAGGTAATCAGGTTAAGTAGTTTAGCTTTGTTTGCAGATGATGCTTTAGTTTATACTGTAGGTAACTCAGTGGAGGAATGTGTGTCAAAAATTAATGGTGACTTAAAAGCATTAAACGATTGGCTGATATGTAATAAATTAAAATTAAATGTGATTAAAACGAAGAGTATGATAATTAATAATAATTCTAATGTTGAAATTAAAATTGATAATGTAACAATTGACAATGTTAGTGAAATTAAGTATTTAGGTGTAGTTATAGACAACAAGCTAAATTTTAAGTCACACTTGGATTGCTTATGTAAAAAGATAGCGAAAAAATTAGGATTTTTTTCAAAAATTCGAAAAAATTTGTCATTAATGAGTGCAATATTATGATAAGGCCACACTTCGAATACTGCTCTTCAATTCTTTTCACTATGAGTTCTGAAATGATGAGCAGATTGCAAAGATTACAAAATAAGGGTATGAGAAGTATTTTTAAATTCAATAGATATTCTTCTAAAACTTTTATGCTGAGCACTTTGAAGTGGTTGAGTGTAACTCAAAGAATTAAAATGAATTCAAGAAATAAAATGAATTGATTGTGTTTAAAATAAAAAATAAAATGATGCCTCAATACTTAACCAATAGATTGATATATGTTGAAAATAGTCATACTTATTTTTTAAGAAACATTATGGATTTTAGATTAAATTTATTTAAAAAAAGCAAAACTCAGAATATGATTATGTATAATGGATTAAAATTATTCAACGAATTACCTTTAAGCTTAAAAAGTGAAAAAAAATTTAGAATATTTAAAAAAACTTTAAAAGAATATATTATAGAAACATTTGTGTGATAACTTGAATTTAACTTAAATTTTTAACTTAAATTTTTTTTTAGGTTATAAGATTTTTTGTTTTATATACAGAAACAAATAATATTTGTAATTGAATTTTTTTTTTAATTATATGTGTATTGTTATAAATAGTAAAAATTACTAAATAAATAAATAAATAAAAAAATTCTCCTCTTTTAGATAGTTTCGACATATTAGACTTCATAACAACCCAAAAAAGTCGTTTATTTCAAATTCAAATTCTCACTCGTATTGTCCAAATACATAAAAATAAGCATTGTTTATCTGAGTAGTCTACGGGGACGGGGTTACGCAGTATATACATATGTATGTATAAATTTTTAAAAGACATTTTTTTTGCTATCATCAATAATTTTAATTAAAATAAATAAAAATAATTTGTAAAATAATTTTTTTTGCGATTATTGTTTTTATTAGCTTTGATTACTCTAATTGTTTATAAAGGGAATTCTTTTAATTTCCTTGTATTCCATTTGAAATTTATAAAAGTTAATCATGATATTTTGGTTTTGTTTTTACCTTACGCAATTATGAGCATCAGCGTATTGCTGCTTGGAAGATGAAGAGAAAATCATCTTGCAGGCTACAATACTCAACGCTAAATAATTTTAGGTTTGGTTATAGAACTTCTGTATAAAAGCCCTCTTAATTGTTGCTGAATAGTTTTCTCTACTATTTAAAAATTAAGTTGGCACACCATTATTAAATTTTTGAGTTTATATAAAGAAAGCACAGAGTAAAATATCTCGAAAAATTGAATCAAAAACAAATTTAAAGAACATTCTAATCTAAGTCATTGCTGGAATTTTTGCTATACAAAAAAAAATTTCCAATAAAATTTATCTTTACAAATTTCATGATATACAGAAGTTTAAATATTTAACAAAATGTCAAGAGTTTAAAGTATTCAAGTTGCAAAGAAAAAAAATTTTTCTGAATTTCCATTTTCACTAGAATATTTTTTAAATATTTCATTTAATTGATGGTACATAATATATTAATGCATATATATTATGTACATTATGTATTAATGCATATAATATTTCTTGTTTCGTGGCTTCAAATCATAAATTATAAAAAGAAGACGAAAAGAGTTTGAATTTAAATTAGATTTATAAGACAAAAAATTCTGAGTTATTCCAGCTAACTTTAGAGAATATTCGCTAGAAAGTTTTTAATAACAACAAAGTTTATGTATCAGGAAATTTATATAAT